AAGGCGGTCGACCAGCGGTACCATGCCCAAGCGCCTATACCGGTAAACTCCGGCTCTCTCTCGATTTCTATGTTTTTTTTTCTATAAGAACATATTAGTTTGAGGTTAAATAGGGTTTTTCAGAGCATAAATAATCATAGGTCGTCATCTCTATTACAAATTGCAAGTAAGAATTTTAGTTGTCAACATATGGTTGAAAATTAGCTTTGTGATCTCCATAGAGAAAGTGATGTATGTTTCAATGTTCATCAAATATTCTCTTTCTTAACAGGTTTGATCATCTATGCATCCCCTTTGTTAGTTCGTTAACGCTTTCAGCTGCAGGCCGGACATACATATTGACCCTGTTTCTTCGAAGTTTAAATTTGGGTGGGCAGGTGCGTCGTTTAGGGTTCAATCGGACCCATCGATTACACACCCCTGTATCGTTAACAAATTCGATTTCTATTCCCCTTTCTTTATTTCTTTGTTTTATAAATCAAACCCCTATTATGTGTTCATAAAAAGAGAAGCTACCATCTTCATATCAGGTAATGTTTCTGTCGCCTCTGGTTTCTTCTTCCTTAAACCAGTCACATCTATTTCATTGTTGAAAATATATACATGTCACAGATTATACCCTAGCATTTTATATATGATTTACTTACCGATTTGTGATCTTTTCCCATTTTGTAAGATGTTGTTTGAGTCTTTTAATGGTGTAAACATAGTTGGGAAGAATAGAGGATTGAAATTATGCTTTAGGAAGTGAACCATAAACTCTTATTAGGTTTTTATATTGAAGATATATGACCGAGCAGTTAACCAGAATTTACTACCAATATCAAAGGTAACATATGGAAGAAATAAAAAGGTATCAAACAGATAAAGATAGTATAATCAACCTAACTTGCTACCAATTTTATGAAATCAAGGGTTGGTTGTCAAGTGTTTTCAGTTAAACAATTACTAAATAATGAGAGATGTGATGAGTTTCTGCACAACAGCTTTCACGGAATCATGTTTTTAATTTAGTTGTTAATTATATTTTTCATGTGTTAATTATGAATCTTTGAGGTGGTCGTGGGTGAACATAAAATGACCCAACTTAGTTTAACAAGATGGAATGGTTAGAAGGGCTTTTCAGTCGTTTGCTGTATAAAGTTATTCCTTTGTACCTCTTATCAAACCTCCATTTGTTTGGATAGGATCCATTGGAATAAGGAACTTAATAGAACAATGAAAACACTATTTGTAGCGATGTTTCCAAAAATAAAAAATGATGGTATGGACATGACTATCTCGGCCAAACTACCATCAATCCAAACAAAAACAATGGAACTTACTTGCCTTAGAAAAATGAAAAGGTTTTATTGGTTTTGTTAAATCCATGACTTATATCAAGAGTGATGGTGGTCCAATGTTGATGTTCACAATGGGATGTTGCTTGCCTTCTATACTTGAGCTGAAGCAAGGTATGCAAAACTTTTCTCTATTCCTCAAATTTACAATACTGTTATATTTGATGTATGAATATGAAAGGCCATTGAAATCTATTTTGGGGGTAATAATCCGAAATTGAAATTTTTGCGACTTTGCTTAAAAGTTGACTGAAATCCTTAAATGTTGTTTAAAAGCTTAAAGATTCAGATCATATAAATATGAAATTATTAACATTAATATCGTCAACTGATATTGCATTCCCATTTTGCATTTGCAGGTTAACCTTTTGGTGCTTAAGTATTATGGTATTGAAGGAAATGATGCCTATAAGCCTACCTAATTGCATGTAGTCGGTTGATAACCAACAAAAACAAAATCAGTGAAAAATAATTTAGTTACTAGTGGTTTACAAATGAATACTTTCCAACCCCCGCAAAGTGGGGAATCTTCCCTAGTTTTTACGAAAATTAACATGCATTCCTTTTTGCGTTTTTATATATTTCTTATTTTATGTGCTAATATCCAAGAATATTTTTAGCATTAATGACATATATATTATTTTGAAGTTAATGGCATCAATAATGCATTAAACTTATTAGGATTTATAATTTTACTTACTATACAACTCTATATTAATTTTCCTACAATGCATTGAGCTCAATAGAGTTCAATTAAATATATATTTAATAGTTAAAATGTTTTTTATTCATTACTGAACTCAATATTCATTGAATGCTAACATCACATCCCAAAATCGTAGAGTTTAATCCATTAAATTCTAATTAGGCATGCGACTTCATTCAAGTCTTTCATTGAACTATGCATTGTAGATGCTATAATGATGTTTACTGTTATTTTCCAATTTTTAGGTTTAACTCAAGTTTTTTATCTATATTAAATTGAGTAACCATTGGACCTTCTGGTTGTATATGTTCTATTGGGCCTTCTGGATTGTATATGTTCTAATTGATGTAACCACACCATCTTTTGATGTAGTAACTTGAAATCATTAATCAAAAACCGATGTAAATTTTTGTCTTACTGACTTATTTGTTGAAGTAAAACAATAGGTTAATATGTATATGATAAATCAAAATTTTGGTAAATTACACGAGTGGTCCCTATGGTTTGGGGTAATCTGTGTGGTTGATCCCTGGAAAGAATTTTTAATTCGGATCATCCCTACAATTTGTTTTTGTTTCAGATTTAGTCTCTTGTTAACTTGAAATGACCACATTACCCTTATTGATATCTTTAATTAGGTTTTATTATTAAATTAAATTTGAAAAATATTAATAAAATGAGAACATGGTCCCACCATCTTAATAGTCATCGCCAGCACCTGCAACACCACCACCACTTTCGGTATCCTCGACTAAACCATCATCGGTCTCCCCACCACCACTACCCAACTTATAGCCACCTTCTCTAAAAAAGTTGAAAACAAAGATTTATGTTTTTCTTTCATTAAGATCGAAAGTTTTTTCCCCTGCATCGTATAATCACTCCAGCAAACATCCAGAAGCTCCCATTTAGCTATCATACATGAGTTCTTGCCAGCAAAACCATCAAAATATAATTTAGATACCATATAAAGCTACACAGTGGTTCTGATTCCTGATTGATATACAACTCCTTAACAATTTCTAGTTCCCATACACTAAACTCAAATTTGCAATCCTATAAAACATATTTTCATCTACCAGATTTCCGATTCAACATTATTTGCTCCACCCACCACCAAATTGTAATTTACAGAAACCCACCTAGAAATTCATTACATTTGCTCCAACTTCACCATATTGCATACTTGTTGAAGTCCTTTTTGGCAGTCAAGAATATGTGATATTTGAAAACTAGCTACCACACCAAAGCTTCATTTTTAACTGAAGATAAAACATAGGCAAAGTTGATTTTGCAGCTAAAGGGAACTTATCGCAGGCCATCCCCAAAACCTGAAACTAGATCAGCACACAAACATTGACAATCGATTTGTAAATAGAAAAATCAACGAACGATTAGTAATCACTACTCGATTATTGCAAATTAACCATCGATGTTTGTCCACTGGTGAAATAAAGAGGGACAGAGTATATTGATGGAGTAGAGAGAGGTCGGCGGACGATTGTTGGACAATAATGGTCGGTTTGACATTGACGATGGGTTACACGACAACAACATCATTGTGAATCGCAGTCTTACAGTGGTATTTAGGTCGCAAAGGGGTTATTTTGGGGTTCCATCACTAATGAAGTGAGAGGTAGAAAGGGAGAGGACTCAAATGCAACTCGCCACTAAAGATATGGGAGGGAGGAGTTCAAGTCGCCAGTGAGGAGGATTAGGGAGGCAAACTTGATGGTGAGGAGGTGAAGATATTTGATGCATGGTGCAGATTACCAATATGAATTGTTTTAATAAATCTATTTTCTAAATAAAAAATTTTAATATTAATTTGAAAGGGTAAGATTGTTTTTTTATGTTTAATAGGGACCAAATGCATGATAAAAACATATGATGGGGGTAATCTGACTTAAAAAAAATTCTTTCTAGGGACCAACCATGCTAATTACCCCAAACCATATGGACCATTCGTGTAATTTACCCTCAAAATTTATATCCCACGATTTATCAGTTCACTTTTATAGTATTAAACGGCACCATATAACATGCTTTATAACATTTGTGGTGCGGTTTGTGATTTTCGAAAATGTCAAACCATACATGTGGTGTGGTTTGCGGCTTTGACTCTAAACCGCATCGCAAACACCCCTAATTAGATTTTTAAAAAAATGATATGGAATGGTGTATTAGTAGTAGTTAAATCATACGTTTAGTGGTTGGATGCGCTGATAATATAATACCGACCAGTATATTGGTTAATGATGAATATTATGGTTGACTTAGTAAAGAGCCCCATTTCTCAAAGGAAAAAAATCATCTTCTATAATTCTACCAAGCATTACCAAAACTAACCTATTTAACAGAAACTAAAATTTGCTATGAGCTTGTGTACCTATATAAGTTAAACTCATATCCATGTACTCTGTGTAAATTTATGTGGAAAATTGATAAAAAGTTCCAAGTATATGAAGTATATCTATATATGCTCTTGTTTTCTGCGAACATACATATGGAGGACCACCATTTTTCATCCATAGGTTGATGTGAAGTGTACTTTTGTTGATGATGAAGAACAGTAGAGGATAAATCGATTTAGAGGGAAGAGAAGGCATACATGGTCCATGGAATCAGTAAGGGTAATGCAGTTAATGGAGAGGGTCGTAAAGACAATTAAAGTAAAAATGCTGCCTGCGGGTGTAAAAGCCAATTAAATTTCCAAAATTTAATGAGATTGTCAACCATCAATTTGTTTTTTTCTTGCATTTCTTCTTCAACGCGTTTTGGAAAGAAGGCAACTTCCACCTCAATTTGTCTAATTGCTTGCATTTTCAACAATGACGGAAAGCATGCATCAACGTAACTATGCTCACGACAAAAAATCATTTCACAATGTATTCAATTTCGTTACATGAAAATGAAATATATACCATAACAAACAAATATAGACTAAAGATTAAATGAAGCAAACCACCATCCTCTTTCTGGTTCTCTTTTCTATACTTATCACCAATGCTCAATCGAGGGGCAAAATCGTAACTTCCAAGCAACATGTCAAGAAACGCTCACTTCTTGTTTCCGGCAATATTACACAGGCACCGATGACGATTAGCAGCTTTGAGAAGGGCGGAGATAGTGGCAGGCCGTCTGATTGTGACGGGAAGTTCCACTCGAATAGCGAGTTGATCGTGGCATTGTCTTCCAGGTGGTATAATAAAGGGGAAGGGTGTTTTTTTGTAATTAAAATATATTATCATGATAAAAGTGTAAAAGCTAAGGTGATTGACGAGTGTCGCTCTAAAAATTGTCCTGATAATATTGTGGTGGCATCTACAGCCGTTTGGGACGCACTTCAGGTGCCTCAAAGTGAATGGGGGGAAGTTGTGGTTACTTTTTCAGTACCGGTATGAAATAAAATCCTACTTTTATTTGTTATTTGCATTAATTATAATTCCAAATGTAATCAATAAGGTAACCTACAATATTAATAAAACGAATTAGCTAAGTTTTCCTATTGTGAAAGTACGTGTTATAAATGATCAAACTAATCGTTCGTTTTGAGAATTTATGGCATTTAAAATTTTTAGAACTTTAAACTTTAGGGATTTGTGTCTACTCACCTACTTAAGCGTGTTTGGGATTTGCTTACTTAAGGTGTTTCTTAACTTATTGTATTTTGGTATCCAGGGCCGGTTCTAAGGATTCAAATGTCCAGGACGAGATGGACAAAAAAGCCCTTAGGTCTTAACATGTAACAAATTAACTTACATAAACTAATATTTTTATTAAAATGACAATAAATTTTATAGCAATAAACAAAACAAAATCATAGTATTTTGATGAGTAATTACATATTCTAACTGCTAACCGACAATCTTTGAAGCTCTCCTAACATTCTTGATTGCAAATTGATTGATCAACTCTTCATAGTCTATACTCTCTAAGATTTCGTTCTCGGTAGATATCATAGTCAAACCGCTAAGTCTTTCCTGTGTCATTGTGGAGCGTAAGTAAGATTTCACAAACTTCAATTTTAAAAAACTTCTTTCTGTAGATGCAACCTTTACTGGAATAGTCAACAATATTCTATATGCAATGCTTGCATTTGGGAAATAATCAAGTTCTTTCAAAAACTTCAAAACATCTATAGGGTTGCTAAACTCATTGGTTTCCAATGTCTCAAATAATTTCAACTCTATATAAAGTTCATCGGCATCAATATCCGATCTTTCTTCAAACTTGAGTGCTTTTTTAAGACAATGACAATAAGACTTAAGATCTTTATCTTCAATTCCCCTCAAATTATGTGGAAATAAAAAACCAAATACTCTGTCATACTCTTTGAATTGTTTAAATCTTGTCTCAAGAGAAGAAATAACTTGATCAACAATGAATAAGAAATAATTGACTCTAAAATTCTCTTTAGGTGTAAATGAAACTTCTTCACTAGTTGAACTCTCATTAAACCATATTTTCCTTTCAATCAAACGCTTTGTGGAAATATTGGATCAATACCCATTTCAATAGCAATCTCCTTAGCTTCAACATCGCTTTTGAAAAACCTGTTTCTCTACAATTCTTAAAGTACCTAATCAATTTGTTTATTTCTTTAATAGCATTATCAAGATACATATCCTTTGATTGTAACTTCTTACTCACAATATTCACATGGTTTAGTACTTCATACCAGTGATGGAGCTTGAAGTGTTGATTTGGGGGGGCCGAAAATAAAATATGTATAAAATTTGAGGAACAGGGGGGGCCAAAGTCAAAATTTCTAGTTTTAGGCTTAATATGTAAAAATTTTAATACTTAAGGGTTAGTTATGAAAAAAAACAAGGGGCGCGGGGTCACAGCCCCTCCTGGCCCTACATAAGCTTCGTCCCTGCTTCATACTAATAACAGTTGATACCAAAAATTCAAAGTCATCAAGTTCTTTTTCTGCTAGTGAAGTTGCTTCACTTGCAATTGCAGCATCATTATCTTTTTCTCCAATTTGAAGTAAAGCTTCCCGTACACCCACAAGTTGAAGTTTAATAGCTTTTACACTCTCAACCCGAATTTTGCAATGAGTTTGACACAATGACTTAAGACTCCAAGCTTTAACATTATCTTTCAAAATTTCCCACCTCCTAGTAGAATTTGCAAAGATAGTATAAATCCGTTGGATGAATCCAAAAAAGTTCTTTCCTTTAACATACTTGTTAGCCATATCACATAATGTTAGATTAAGAGAATGGCAATAACAAGGAGTGTAAAATGCTCTACGATTTATATCTAAAAATCTCTTTTGCACTCCTTGGTGTCTTTCCTTTCATGTTTGCTCCATTATCAAAGCCTTGATCACACATATTATCAATTTCAAGACCAAGAGACTTTAACTCCTCAAGTTTAATATCAAATAGTCCTTTTCCATAGGTATCATCAACATTCAAAAAACCTAAAAAGGAATCCTCGACAATAACAAAATTATACGATAATGTTAAATAGCTCACTGTTATAGTAATTTGTTCCTGGTGACTTGAATCGGGATTACAATCAAGTATGATTGAGTAGTACTTTGCTTCCTTTATCTTCTTGATATGTTCTTTTTTAATTTCTTGAGCTAGCAAATATATTAGTTCGTTTTAGATTAAGTGGCCAAGATAATGCACATGAAGCCCATCACTTGTGATCTGCCGCACATGCTCTTTGATAACCATGTCAAACTCTTCCAACATTTCAATAACACCCAAAAAATTTCCATCACCTATTAAATACGATTAACACATAAGAAGTTAAATCGGTCATAATAATTAACAAAAAGGTATTTGGTGGAATTAGAACAAAAAATAATTACAATTTATAGTTACGTTTTTTATACAACTATTCATTGGATCCATGAAATGCTAAATTATGTATAGCAGGAAACTTCACTACTGCAATGATTCTCAAAAGGACTTGTTTACAGTAATCTCTTTCTTTCTTGAATTGCTGGTATTGAACTTTATCAACTGTTTCATTCAAGGTCAGTCTTTTACGCATATGAAACCACTTATTCCTATTTGTAAGATGATCCAATGAAATTTTGTGTTCTTTAACCCTAGTGGCGACATGGTGCCAATCTGCATTATCACACCCCTAAACCGGAACGGCGGAAATGTTCGGGGGCGGATGACTTCATGTGGTAACGTAACAAATGAATACATAGTAAAGAAAGCAATACAACCATCATATATATAATTGAAAGTTTACATTGTTTAAAAGAGTACATGTTCAAAACCAATTACAATATGATGTCAAAATATGAATTTAAACTAGTGCCGCAACATTCCTTCTTCAAAAGCGGTTTGTTACCTGTAATTACTGAATCCCTGGGACATACAAGTAGTTTTGAAAGAGTAGATCAGCATTTGAGCTGGTGAGTTTCATAAGTATTAAATGACAATGTTTGTATGAAATGAAATGTTTTTGTTCTTGTTTGTTTGTTACTAGAAAATCCTATATTTTCTACTAGTATAAATGTAGCCTTCTTTTAAGACCAGTGTTTGTTTCTAGAAAATGTATGTACGTATAAAATTTCCAATACGTCTGAAAAACCCCGTAAATCATTGTGTTTTTAATACTCTATGTGAGTTTTATAACCATGTTGTTGACAAGGAATGCCTATAGACAACGTTCTTCAGGCGTTGGAATGTTCTGACGTTTGTCACCCCAAATGGTGGACTGTAGCTAACAGTCAGGGCGCGGGTTGTCAAGCCCGTATAGATCTATACACAAACACCATGCTCCCCTTCCAAGGGATTCTGGTATATAATACAGGACTTGAAATGTGTACTCGAATGTACGTGAAGTTAATGTCTCACAACACTTAGTATAAAACAGATTTACGTGTGAAAATGTTTGTTTGTTATTGTGTATAAAAGTAGCTTCTTGAAATAGTATTTCCATGTATGTAAAAGTTCGTAGTATTCTCGTAAAACTATACCTATTATGGTTTCCTAAAAGTGTGTTTCGTTTGTATAGTAAACCCTTAGTGAAAATGTTCACTTGTTATGAAAAGTGTAGTTTTTGTAGTGCCAAAACCGACACACATAAATGTAGTATAAGCAAAGTATCTGATTTATATAAATACATAAATCGTTTCTCATTTCAAAAGATAAAATGTTGTTGTGGTATAATTTGCATATGAAAGTTTCCCTATAATAGTTTTAAATCACATATGATTCCTTTGCTAAAACACGTATAGTGAAAGTTTATATAACACACAATAATAATCGAGTGTTTTACTTGTATTCCCCCTTAAAAGCATATTAAAATACTCATAAAACATTTAAAAGTGTGAATTATAGGGGTATGAAGTCACTTGAAAGATCGGAGGTTGCGGGATGAAAATCGGACGAAATTTCGACTCGAGAAAGTGGATTTTCTTGGGATTCTCAGGAATCTCAGGAGCACAAACGACCTTCAGGACTTGAGCAAAGTAATCGGGGCTTCGGGGTAGCACGGGCACGGAAAACGAGGCAAGAATGTAAGAGAAATGAGAGAAATGGTGCATTTTCTTCGGAAACCTCGCATCCCTTTTATAGGGGTTGGGCACCAACCTCGTATGCTGGGCGTACGCGTGTACGCTGGGCATACGCGTGTACGCTGGGCGTACGCGTGCGTCATGCATGACCAAGTCCTCAACTGCCTCAGAGGTCGGATGGGATGGGGCATAGCCTCGCATAGGCGCGACGTGGACAATCCGATGCCAAGGCCTCGCGTACGCTGAGTGTACGGGCTTACAATGGGCGTAACTCGACCCTATCTGATGACTCCCCTTCGGATAATACCAAGGGTTTTAATTAAAATTTATATTTTAATTATTTAATAAATTTCAAAAATTCATATCTTGTTTATACGAACTCTGTTTTAATTAAAATTTATATTTTAATTATTTAATAAATTTATATTTTAATTATATCCACATGAAGGTGAGACCATACTCTACAACTTTCGTTTAGATCCCATCGGCAAATTTCGAAATTATTTTTATTATTTATTTTTAAAAGGTCGTGGTAAGAAAATTTATTTAGAAATTCATAACTTCTTTATCTGATGTCAGTTTTTGCCAGACTTTTTACCGCTGAAATACCATTGTCGAGACCTTCGATTCTCGTTTAGGTCATTCCGGCCAAAAGTCGCTCGATCTCCGATTCGAGTTTTTTTAGCCGTCTGTCGTTAAGCCGAACTTGGAAAATTCCTAACTTTCTTATACGAAGTCGGATTTGGACGTTCTTTTTACGTACGATCACGGTTTTATGACATCTAACATAATAGGTAATTTAATTAGTGATTTTTGGATATTTTATTTTCGAAGTTAATTTTATTATAACGAACGTGGTTACAATACTTGACTTTTTAGGTCGTTTACATGTAGTTGAAATAT